GGCTTTCTCGCGTTCTCTTCTCTTATCTACGTATTTTCGTTCTTCTTTTAGTTCTTTTCTTTTTCTTCTTCTTCCCTTTTTTCTATATATATATATTTCTCTTTTTCGTTTTTTCTTCATATTCATTCTTTTTCCTCTTCTCCCTATCTGTCCAACCTTCTTTTTCATATTTCCCCCATTTTTTTCTCTTCTCAAATTTTGCCCGCTCTCAGAAATTGCTTACACCTTCACGTTAACTGAATGAGAAAAAACAAAGAATACTAAACCGCATCTAACCTATAGATGTTAAAGCTTCTCTACGCCATTGCTTTTGAACTCCCCTGATCTTATTTGACAATCACTATATAAGCGGATATAGAACGAGGGTAGGGGGAAAGCGATCAGGAAGAGGAGGGATCGTTAGAGAAAAAAAAAGAGACAAGATGGTAGTCAACTTGATACTAAGTCAAGTAAATATAGAAAATGAAAATAAACGAATAACGACGATTGAAGGAAAGAATTTTAAGTGTAGATGACATTGTCCGCCAACAGTATCGATTTACAGAACACACCTGGATATAGATCGATAAGTGATACACAACTATTTTTCTATCTTCCGTTTCTTTTTAATTCGATGCTTAGTCATTCATTCAATCAATCCCAAATTTATTCAATCACTTACTCGTCCCCACTCGATATTTTATTCATTTTCTCGAAACATTTATATACGAATATCGAGGTAACAAAATATATGTAAACTTTTATTTTATACCAGAGATAGAAACATTTCTTATTGTGTAAGCGTAGATACGTGTGAGTGATCGTATGTGCACGGATATATATATATATATATATATATATATATATATATATATATATATATTTGGTGTATAAGGTATGTTCATTGATTATTTCAGCTCATGTGACAGCGTTTCCCCCTTACGAGGTGTGGTTAAATAATTTGAACCTTTTTAAAACCTTTATTCTACAATCTACATTCAACATCATCATTTGATAAGACACCAGAGGTGTTGAAACAAAATGCCTATTTTGTGGGGATTTTTTAACATATTCATGTTATAATTTTAAATAAATAATTATATATATATATATATATATATATAATTATTTATTTATATATATATATAATATATATATATACGATTAAAGACAAAAGGAGAACTTATCTTAGCCCACGCATTTTGGCCTCTGCTCTTATAATTATTGAAATTAAAAAATAATTTTTAAAATAATTATAACAGAGCACGTTCACGCGTGTTTTTTTTTAAGTTGCCATCACAACGGAATGCAGATTTTATCGCAGTTACAATAAATTTGTCTTTGTAATTCACCCCAGAGGATAACCTTGGAGGAGATCGAAAGTACTTGGGTAGGAAAAAGATATAGTGTCTTCCTCAATGAATTACATCTTAACATCATGTAACTGATTAGAGAACTAGAAACGATTATTATAAAAAATATAAATAGATGGAATATGTCTATATTATTCAATTAAACACGCTTGAATGAAGATATGCTGATATATATATATATATATATATATATATATATATATATATATATATATATATATATATATATATATATATATATATATGTTTTTATTAAAATGACTGTCAAGGTAAAAGCGATTAAGCTTTTATCAATTTTCCTTGCATTCATTTAAACATATTCTGGACATAAAGTGTATAACAAATTCTTCAAATAATGAATTGTTCCTTTTTACCTTGTTCAAGAGCCACTGGAGGTAGATTGTGACAAAGTAAGAGACAGTTTTTAGGTATATGTGAAGAAAATAATGGTTATACCTAAACAGATAAAGATTGTAGTGATCGGAGCAAATTCCTTGGGAGTTGGTTCCACAATGCAGTGGTCTATGCATAAAAGCTGCTTGAGTGGAACTTACATCTCACCAATGGAATGCGAAGGGAGCGGTTGTGGTTCGATACAGTGTACATGGCGGCTCTTCGCCGTGATGGTTAGAATTGGTGGAACTAAAGAATGTAGTACAACTAAACACTTTCCATGGAAATAGCGATAGGGCAGTGAGAATCTTGCTAGGTCTTGTCTGTGAGAAAGAGATTTAAGAGTCGGACATAATCCATCACAAACAGGAAGAGGAGACACTTTTGAACTCAATCAAGATTGAACTGCGTCTGGCACTTGTAAAAGTAGAGAATAACAGGTGGAGCCGTGTACTTAGTGACGCGGTACAGGAAACCAACCATTTTTCTAGTATCATTAGTGATGGACCGTATGAGGTCTGGATTGAGATCAAATCCCAATAGGCAAGGAAATTTAATCTCAAGATACAGGACCTCCCTGAGAGAACACCCATTCATTGAGATAGGTGACAATTCGGGTTCGTCTTGATTCAAAGACCTATGTTAAGACTTCGATGTTTACTGTTGCGACCGTCAACTGACCCTCTAAGATGCATTTTATTTAAGAAATATGATATATTTCCAGCAAAAAGACACCTCAACCTACAAAAACTGAAGGAACTAGAAACCAGTTGTCTACTATATATATATATATATATATATGTGTGTGTGTGTGTGTGTGTGTGTGTGTGTGTGTGTGTGTGTGTGTGTGTAATAATCCATTGGTATATAATCCAAATGAATCCAAATAATAAAATAATGATATGAAATATATAAAAATATTAAAACTTTTCGCCAAGAACTCAATGTATTTATTATAACAGAGCATATAATTTACATAGAATAGAAATCAAAATTTGCCTCATTCGAATAACTATTTTAACTAACACGAAGACCTATATTCTCATTGTCAACTTCTGTGTTGACAGTATCAAAATAGGTTTTCTTGTTGGTTGAAATAGCTATTCGAATGAGGTAAATTTGGATTTCTATTCTATGTATATATATATATATATATATATATATATATATATATATATAATTTCTCGAATATTTAGGCCGGTAGATAAAAATAAATAAATCTACTGTTTAATAAATGAACAGGGCGTCTATTCTAATATGAGTATCTACTTAAATAACATTTAAAGTGATAAAAATCTGTCGAATTAATGAATAAAAATTATTACTTGAGATGTTGTGAGTTTCCCGCGTGTCGGTGTACGAATCAAGACAAACACAGTTGTAGAGGAAAATACTGGTATATTCATAAAAGCAATTAACAATAGAGTGATTAGTAGAACGAAGGTTGGTTAGTACAAAACAATATCCAAAGTCTATAGTCCAACGGTATGTAACGGGTAAGCATATCTGGACTGCTCACGCTGACTCTCTCTCTCTGACGCTCTGTCACTCTCTCTCCAGAGCTGACTTATATAAGAGGGACCAGTCCATTACTAGTTAGAAGGTGGGTGCGCCCCAACATTACCTCTGTATTACAACTACTTCTACAAACATAAACGACTTAATTATGCAAGACAAAATAATAGTTAAAATTTGAAGGAGGAATTTACTCTATGTGTAATAATTGCAAGGAATACGTAGGATAAACCACTAGTAATTTATATGAAAACAAAGGAGATATTTTACAAAACATCACGCTCAATGTATTTCTTGTCTGATAATAATTTCGATTTCAAAAAAGACTAATTTAATTAAAAGAGAAACAGTTGACTACGATGAAAATACTTTAATCGCTAAATCGTCCACAGTATATACGCATCTAAATTCTTACAATATTTCATCTTTGTTGCCATATCTTCTGTTATAACAAAGTGGGAGATTTCTTCACAAAACGAATAAAAGCATAAACAAAAGGAAAAAGTAACTAAATGTAACTGGCTAGACGATATAGCCAGATACATATTTCAGCGACATCAATTTTGTCCGTTGAAGTCCTAAAGAACGAAACGCGTCGAACGAAAAGTTGCCCATTTTTAACTTTTTCCTAATAATATATATATATATATATATATATATATGTGTGTGTGTATGTGTATACGGGGGTTGACTGAAAAATTAATAAGTTGATGCACGATATAAAGGTAAGTAGGCACTAGTTGGTAGACTTAAAGATATGCTAATGTACCAGAATATAACAGCTGGCCGACCATATATATATATATATATATATATATATATATATTACAATTGGAATTAAGATATCTTTAGTTAATGACAAATTTTAATTTTAAACATTTATATATATATATATATATATATATATATATATATATAATAAATATATATATATATATATATATATATATATATATTATAAATTATTGATTGAAAAATGGAAGCTAAAAGCTTTAAATTTAATTAAATTTAACGTTTTTAGCTTCCATTTTTGAAACCTGGTTATTACTGTGTACCGAAGAAAACCTTTTTTTCAATCTGTTAATTTATAATATTTGTGCTCTGTAAATTTACATTGAGCACTTTTTTGTAAAAATAAAAATAAAAAATGAATATAATAAGAACACCGGATTATATATCTTACTGTTCTTTCTTTTTATTTACACACACACATATACATATATATATATTGAGTGATAATATATATATATATGTGTGTGTGTGTGTGTGAATTTTAAGTAATGAACAGAGTCTCGGATTGAAGTATCGGAGAGTCGATTTTCATTGCATTCACGTATGGATCCATCTCTTCTCCTCAACCCTAGCTATGGGTAAATAGCTGAACAGACTGGGTTCTATAGCCTTTGCTGTCAGTCTGTCTAGGAGAAGAACAAATCTGAATTCAAAACCTGAAGATGACCGATTGGGGAATTCACTGCTATTGAATTTATACGTGGGTTTAGTCTGGCAGTTTGGTTCTCAGAACTGAGCTGCTGGATTCTCATACGTCTAAAACTGACGAGATAGTCCTTAAGATAGATATGAACAGACTGAGATACATAGTTATTTTCTAAGCACAGATTAGATGTGGCACAAGGCCGAAAGTATGGGACACCCACTGAGGATCGAACTCACTACTCAGTCGTAAGTGATCTCGGAAGACAAGCATTCTAACCATTACACCACGTCGAGGCGCACATA